GAGAGAGGCAGAGGGAGAAGCAGGCTCCCAAGGAGCAGAGAGCCCGATGCGGGACTCGATCCCAGGACCCTGGGATCATGACCTGAGCCGAAGGCAGACGCTCAACCATCTGAGCCACCCAGGCACCCAGGGATACCATTTTCTATGCTGCTTCCCTCACCCAGTGAGAGACAGGTTAGGTGAGACACATTTTCCAGGATCTTCCTTCCACACAGCCTCCATGATTACTGCATTTAATGGCTCCCTAATATCCCATGGGTTTCCTTCTAGTTGTTTCTGTTCATGTTATCAATAATGCTGAGATGGATCTCTTTGTGAACATTATCTTCCTTTAGCTACATCTTTTATTCTTTTGGGTCTTCTCTTGATAAGTTCCCATGTGTGCTGGGTCAAAGGGTATAAATAGGTCGGTGATTGACACTCGGTATCCAACTGATTGCCATAAAGGCTGTGTCCTGCCATGGTGACCTTGCCACGTCCAAGCGAGCAGGTGTCCCCAGATCCTTGCTGGCACCGGGTATCCTTTTCCTTCCTTCCATTTTGTGCTAATTTCCCATCTGTGAGAGAGTCCCTTAGTGCTGCCTTAATTTGCATTTTTGATGGCTAGGAAGACTGAACTAGTTTCCATGTATTGAAATCAACCAGCTACAGTTCTTTTTGTGTGAAATATCTGCTTGGGTTACCTGCCCAGTCATCTGCTGGGATTTGATTTTGAGGCGTTCCTCATGGGGTTCAGGTAAAATACCGTCTTTGTGACGCCATCAGTCTCTCCCATTTTCCTTTTATCTTCTGTGCAGAAGTTTTAAGCTTTTATATCCTCTTATCTGTCAGTCTGTTTTGTCATTTCTTACATTGCTCCAGACCCTGGGAAGTTATCATTCCCTCTCGCAATCAGATTAGTATTTAAGTCTAGCTTTTCTGCTGGATTTTCTATGATTTAAATTTTTTTTTTGTATCAACTAATCCACATGAAGTTCATTTCACTGTAAGGTTTGAAATGTTTTCCCCAAGTTGTTCCAAAAGGTTTATTCGATAATCCCTGCCTTGGACATTGTTTCGAAGGATCATCTTTGGGCGGTGGAGCTAGATCTGCAGGCTGAATGCAGTTTCTCCTGTGAAATGGCAGGCTCTTGACATGACTCTTGTCCCCACCGTCCCCAGGCGAGGGCTGCATTGCTCTACGGTTAGAAGCCACGGAAACTCAGCTCCCCATCTACACACCTCTCACCCACCATGGAGAAATGACGGGCCACTTCCGGGGGGAGATTAAGCTGCAGACCTCCCAAGGCAAGATGAGGGAGAAGCTCTACGGTAAGTGGGTGCAACTACTCCCTTGCCCCCTTTTCAGTGCTGCTGGGAGAGGGACACGAATGAGGTGTCTCTCAGCCCAGCCATTGACTATTCTCTCTGCTGTGGCCTCCGAACAGAAATCTAGCATCAGAAGGGCTATGAGAGGGGCGCCTGGGTAGCTCAGTCGTTAAGCGTCTGCCTTTGGCTCAGGTCATGGTCCAGGGTCGTGGGATCGAGCCCCACACCGGGCTCCCTGCTCTGCGGGGAGCCTGC